TGCGCTGGAGCGCGGCGTGGGCCCAGTTACCCTGGCCGGCTCCGCGGCGGCAGCAGTTGGCTGCGCAGTACGTGGGCGCGAGGGTCCGGGACCTGTTGGGTCGTGCGCTCCATTGGCGTTGTTGTCGGCGTCATGCGCCGCAGTGGCTAAAACGCTCCCGCAGTTCGCGGCTTTTCTGCACATAGGAGAGTTCCTCATTAGCTTCCATTAGGAAGCCTAGTGCGGAGCGATAGCCTTGCTCGTCGCAGAATTGTCTGACTTTGTCAAACATGCGCGACGGCGGTGTTATGCCCTTACGCTGGGCACGCCTTACGTACTTCTCATACATTTCCTGGACCTTTTGTACCAGTTCCTTTGCCCTAGAGGGGCTCACCTGGCGCAGCTGATAGCGCTCATGGTCGGCCTTCGCCGACTGGGTGCGCATGGTATTCCCTGGGCTCGCCATGTAAGTCAGATAGAAAATGTTTCTTAAGTTGGAATGTGTTTGCGGAAGCGATGGAGTGCTTGACTCCGAGGTCGTTTGACCGGTTGGTCTCAGATACCAAAATTGTAACAAAGCTTGCAGTTGGCAAGCAGTTGCGAAAAAGGAAATTATCCAACGATAAAAGGTGGTATTGATAAATACCGTTTGGTATTGGAAGATTATGAATAGTTCTTGGATGTACCGTTGGTACGATACCGTTGGCCCGGTGAGCCAAGGGCCGCCTTAGCGGCGTTACACTCCCCCCCATCCCCCCATTGCCCCCCATTCCTATCTTGTCGAGAACCTATTGGCTCCCCCAACCCGCGCCGTCCTGTTTACCTCACACCCTCGCGGCACAGCACAAAACAACACACACAACACAACACCAATGAAATATGCCAGGCATGGTCCGTCCATCTATAATGCAGAAAAAACAAACTTACACGCAAAAGGCAAACAGCCATAATTACCAATCCTTCGACATGTTCCCTTCCTCAAGCATAACACAAGATCATGTACCTATCTCAGCGTAGCTTGGTATTAAGCCCATTGCAAAAGTAGGGACAGTCATGCCAGCTCAATCCTAATTCGCACTTTATTGGTTGTGAGGCCTCGCATCACCTTCTCTCCATCTCAGCCTCCGCAAGCACAGTTAATTTCTGGAACTGCAAAAAATGGCGAGCTCTTGTACATGTAGGTATGTGGACTGTGCAGATACGGTATTCGCCTGCATCACCGTATTCGCCGCAACCCACTCCCCCAACACACACACACACACACACACATATAAGCACATGCACACGCTCCATGCATGCATACATACATACGTACACGCTTCCGCGTGTAATCAATATTGCTCCTAGCAAATTCATTAGGCCATCATATCACATGAGCTTTGTCTACCTCATCCCGTGGACTGACTTGCCTCAACACACAGACCCCCCAAAATCCCCCTGAGCTCACATCTCCCCCTAAACGCCATTGCCGGGACATCGTGCCCGCTGGCCCTTCCAGACGTCCCCTACAGGCTGGGTTCCAGTTCCAAATTCAGTTTCATTTTCATCCGCACCTGTGCTATTTTCAATGCATTTCAAATGCATTTCAAATGTTTCAAACCAGGTCCATCTGGATCTGATTTCAAATCCCAGACCCAAACACATTCCAGAACAGGATCTTCTGATCCCGGTGCCGCCGTCTTTTCTAGAACTCCCCCTCGGGTTGTTCCCCATCCCCGCCGCCGATCACGAGCAATCCCCTTCCCGTACCGCCGTACCGCCGTACATCCATCAGTCCGAGTTTCCGTCCTCAAGGCCGCCCACCTCCCACTCGCTATCCTGTCCTGGAGCACCCTCATCACCATTATCACCATTATCACCATCATTATCACCGCCGTCACTATCAAGTTGAACACCGGCGCCCCGGATGTCAACGCCAGCGATACGAGCGGCTGCAGCGGCAGCGGCACGTCGACGAGCTCTGGATCCCGCAATCGCGTCCGCGGCCACCGCCGTACAGGCCCCCCTCGAGTCCTCCTGTCCCCCTAGAGGCCGCCGCACGCGCTCGAGACCCGCGGGTCCCGCGGACTGACGCGAGGCCGGAACCCCGGTTGCTACCGCCGCCGCCGCCGCCGCATCGCCATTCGCCAGATCCACCACTTCCACAGCGTCCACACGCACCGAACCCGGGACGCCTGGTGCGCCAGCGACCGCCTTCTTGCGGCGTCGCTTCGACGCGGGCTGCCGCCCCTCCGCCTGCTTCTCCTCACCCCACGGGACGGCGCCAGCGTCCCCCGGTAGCACCGTCGCCGTCGCCGCGGCCGCCGCCTCACCATCGTCCCGAGCCCGACGGCGGCCCCGACCACCACCCCGCCCACGGCCGCGACCACGTGATGAATGGCCGCCAGCTTGACGGCCACCGCTGCCGCCGCCGCCGGCTTCATCTCCATCTCTACTTGCCGCTACTGCCGCCGCCGCTGCGGCCGCCGCTGCCGTCGGCACCGCCGCGTCACCAGCCGTCATCTCGGCAGCCAGTCCGCCCTCCGGACCGAGTGCAGGTTCAGTGGCAGCGGTGACGGCGGCGGCGACGTCGTGCTTCCGTCGACTGGGCGTGAGCTGTACTGCATCTCCCAGCACCAACTCTTCGGAGGCGACAGGTACAGACGGGAAAAAACGTTGGCTTTGCTTGAGCCGTTGAGTTCCGCAGGTTCCGTTGGGGCCAGTTGGCGAAACCCGAAGTGCCGCCGCCGCATCTTAACGTGGCAACATGAACCCAACCCCCGACCGGGCACAGCTTTTCCTCGGGGACCCCCACCCTAGGAAGTAACCCTGAAGAGACCCTAAGGCCCCATGAATCATCCAACGTCTTTCCCGTCACACATACCCCCCCTCCCCCTCCTTTCCCCTCCTTTCCCCTCCTTCCCCCCCTCAAGGTACCCTCCCCTCTCATCTAGGCGCCCGAGCCCACATAACACAGATAGCCTCGGACACCCCTCCCCTTCCCCCTCTCTCCCCCTCTCTCCCCCTCTCTCTCCCTCTCTCCCCCTCTCTCCCCCTCTCTCCCCCTCTCCCTCACCTTCCCCAGGTGCCTGCCCAGTAATTTTGGCCACCGCGCTCTGCAACCGCTTGGATCTAATCTTGGCGAATCTCGTACTGAAGGACAGAAACTGCTCCATCCGCAGTTGGGCTTGGCGGTTGTCGAACTCCTTCAGTACGGGCAGCAGTAGCTCGTCCACTTTGTCGGGTGTCCAACCGAATTTATCACTTGTGGATGGCGTAGCATCCCATCCCGTGTGTGAGAGATTTTGTGGGGGGAAGCGGGAGATGCGTCAGAAGACCCGAGAGGTGGTGTCGCTAGTGATGTGATGTGATGTTGCGGTCCGTGTGTGTGTGTGTGTGGCGAGGCGGGTGGGATGGGCCGCCGTGTAGCGCGTCCTGAAGACCACCTTCATCACCTCTTACAATACCAATCACATCCTCCCCCACCCACCCACCCACCCACCCACATACCCACATACCCACATACCCACATACCCACACAGGGGTTGATAACGGATTCCAAACCCGAAGCCCCCACCGAGCGGCTATCCTCCTCTGACACGGGACGTGCGACAAACAGATAGATACACACACAGATAAAGAGACAGGCAAACAGACGGATAGTTAGACAGACAAACGCCCTCCACAGGCTCTTACTACATTCTACGTGTTTACACGCAGGTCGGCTAAACCGTCCTATACCTACTTTATGGAACGCAAACTACGCAGTTTCACGCCACGTCCCCCCTCCATCTCTCGCATCTCCTTCATTCGCCAGTGGTCCCTCTTGCCCCCCTCCACCCTCCCCCCTCCTCCCCCCTCCACCCCCCCCACCTGCAGAACTGCCTCAGCAGCTGCAGGTCGGGTCGTCCGAATGTGAACTTGGCCGTGTTGCTGTCCAGCCGAGGGCTCAGGTAGGCCTCCAGAACCGGCGGGGAGGGGAAGGAGGCGGGCAGCTGCCAGTTCTTGCGAACAGCGCGGTGCTGTCGCTTGAACTCGCGCTGAGCCGGGGTGTCGTCGGGCTGGCCGTCGCCTACGGGTGTGTGTGTTTGCGTGTGTGGTGGTGGTGGTGGTGGTGGTGGTGAGGAAGCTCGATAAGGGGCGGGAGAAGGGGTTGGGGCCTGTATGTGTGTGTATGTGTGTATGTATGTGTGTATGTATGTACGTGCGGGGTTATGCATGAGCGTGTGACGGTGCAAGGGAACGACCTCCCCATGTGGCTCAGGGAACATTCGGTCATGCGTTGCAGAAACCCCACCCCACCTCACCCTTCCCTTCCATTTCCTTCCCTTCCATTTCCCCTCCGAGCCTAAAACCCCCCACCCTTTCCCCCACCTCTCTCCTCACCTTCCCCCCCCACCAGCTCCAGCTCTCCCTCCCCCCCCGCCGCCTGCAGCTGCCTCGCCGCCGCCACAATGCCAACATCCGGAGACTCCACCCAGCTCCGGAACCTCTGCAGCCCCTCCAGCCCGGGAAACGCCTGCACCACCTCCACCGCATTCACGATCCCGATACCCCCACAGCCCTCCGTGTAGTCGCTGCCCAGCAGCAGCGCCATCTCCGCCAGCCGCTCCCGGGTGAGACCCAGCTCCCGCTCCACATCGCTCATCTGGTACTCCTCGACGTACCTTTCGGGGGAGGGGGGAGGGGGGAGGGGAGAAAGACGAACCACCGCCACCATAACCACAACGAACCACCACCACCATAACCACCATAACGACACCTACACAACTGTACATCTACACAACCAACGTCCCCACCCCCCATCTCAGGTATCGTCAGTGGTTCGTCTCTCAACCCCCATCCTACTTTTTATTTTCGAATATGTGCCGGTACACGTGTCTGGCTCCGAACAGGAACACGTCGTTGTCGTCGGTCACCACTCCGTCCACCAGCCCCGACACCTCCAGGAAGGCGCACTGGGCCTCAGCCTGAAACAGGGGGGGGGGAGAAGGGGGAGGGGAAGAAGGGGGAGGGGGGGATGAGACAAGGAGAGGGGAGATGAGCAAAACAGGGTTAAGGTAGGTCGGGCGCATCAGGGTAGTCCAGGGGCCCCCACGGCGGTGCAGGACGTGAAGGGTGAGCCACTTGGCCTCCTACCAACAGCCTTTTAGCCCAATACCCCCCTCCCCTCTCCCTTCCCCCACCTCC